TTCACTGGGATCATCTTCAGGTAGGCCTTTTCTTCTCCTTTGGCGTTGTGAATTGAGGCGACCTTTTCTTCTGATGTGTTACTGATGTCTTTTTCCTTTGCTTCTTTTTCTATTGGTGCTGGTGGTTTGTCAGAATGTAAGATGGTATGATGCCATCTTTTACACAACTTGCAGACCGGCGCTTTACAGTTGATCCTTGAGTGCTTGAATCGAAGGCACTTGAAGCATATCATTGCCTTTTTGGTCATATCCCATTTTCCATTCAGGTTAGCTTCTTTGAACTTCTTGCATTCTAATGCGAAGTGTTCTTCTTCACAGAACGGGCATGACTTCTTATATTTTTGTTTTGACGCTTCTTGTACCAAATGGACGGGTTTTCTTATTCCTATTCTTTGTTCTGAGGATGCTTCAGGTGGAGCGAAGTCTCCGCACATGTCGGCTTCTGTTTCTAGGAACTCTTCGACGAGTAATAGCTCCTGAATTTCCTCATCTCTTCTGCTTCTGTGGTAGGCGAACCAACGAAACTTCATTGATGTCGGCATCTTGTCTACTATAACTCTCAGTGTTTCAGGGGAACTGAGATACTGTGGTTTCTTCAGGGCTTTGATTGTCTCAACTGCGTTCTTTACTTTGCTCGCATGCATATGTCGCTTGGGTTCTCGCCGACTTTTGGGAGGTTCTTTATTTATTCTAGTTCTGCTAGTGCCAGTGCTCCAGGTTTTCCGAATCTTACTTCTAGTCCCTTGATTACTTCGCGTGGATCTTCGGCGGTGAACAGCAGGCTTTGGACGGCTTCTCTAGCTTTTCCTTGGATCGCTATTCTAAGGCGTGCTAGGTTCTGATTGTTACTGAAAGAAGCGGCCATATCCTCGTATGATCTCTTGAAGGCTAACCATTCTTCACAGGCCCCGTTGAAGTGAGGGAGTTCGAGATGCTTTGGTGAAACGGTGTCACGTGACTTTTCGGATAGCTTGAGTATGACTGAAGTTAGTTCTTGGATGTCACTCTTCTTTTCTTCTACCTCTATTGGTTTGTGGTTCTTATTAGGCATGTCTCCGGTCTGGATGAACCACCGTTCAACTTTTCGAGTTCGTTCGAACAGTTCTTCTCCGGTACCATCTTCTTCTTCTAACTCCGCAGTAAGAAGTACTAGTTCCTCTTGAGCAACTTTTGACCGAGCTTCTGCCAGTTCTAGTTCCCTTAATGCCATTGTGATTTTTGCTTGCGCTTCTGCTCTCTTCCTATGCGACGAGCGAACGGAAAGTATGTCTGGAACGCGGGTCGTCTTCTTAGGGTGAGGCTGCTGCAGACTCTTTTCTCTGGACGTTGGTATGCTTCCCTCGTTCAGACATGTCTTCACTGCGATATTTCTTTCTTGAATCTGCGGCGTTGGATGACTCTCTTCTTGGTGAGGAACTGACGCTTCGACAGTGCGGGTCGGGGGGGTGTTATGGGTTACGTCCCCCGGTGTTGATTCCTCTCCGGCAATGTTCTTAGTAAGAAGTACGGGTTGTCTGTGTACGCTGCTGGGCGATGATCTTGTAAGCGTCGATCGATCTGATGTTGATGCGTTCGTATTCATCGTGCTTGTGGATTCACTTGGCGTATTCATACTCCAATCCGTCGTACTGGTACCCGTAGTAGCGTTACTTTCACTCGTAGTCTTCGACTGCACTGATTTTGATCTTGTGTTTGAAGGCATCTTCCTAGTTTTTCCTTAAACCCGATCCGGCTTTTCGAAGGACCAATGTTGATGTTCGTGTGTAAGAATATTAGTAATGGAGCGGGTTATGCTGGCGGGATGTTAACTGGAGAGCATACAGTAGCAGATAGATTTGCAATAAATAACACTTCTTCAGAGTTTCTTCTTATTTATTTTCTTGATGCTTTATTCTTACATTGCTGGATTTGGAATGTTTTACCACAAAAAACGCCTCTTTTTTATAGGCAGCTGTGACCAATCAGAATTAATAAAATTTGCACACAGCACTAATGATTCCGATTCGCCCAATCAGAGCGCAGAACGACCTTTTCTAAAGGAAATTTACAAATTTCTTTAATATGTGTGGTAAAACATACCTTACAATGTTTTTATACATTCCTGGCAGTAGAGATAACTTATCTTTATTATTTCGAACATTAAACATTCATAAAACATTTAATTTACGTTTGTAAAAAATAAAAATAGTGGCGCGGTCTTCCTACGGTTTAGCTCCGTAGTAGCTAAGCTCTTTCCGCTTAACATACAAGTAGCGCCGCCAGGCGGCAGGAATGCACAATGCTTATCATGATAATATTATGTTCAAGAATCTATACAGAATACATTTTAACTTCTTATTAAATTAAAATCTATTTTATAATAAGAAATTAGATTACAAATCGAAATATTGACATATTGTCGTTTTAAATTACATTAAAAGAAAAAGAAAAACATTAAATTTACACTTAAATGTTAATATTTCTAATACAGCTCTTTAAATTATAATAAGAGAAAGTTCTAATAAGTAACTAGACTTATATTTAATTAGCGAGACACAAAAAAAGGAACGCAGAAAGAGAGCGATTCATGAGAATGGAAGACCTGAGAGTAAGTAATTTCACACGCCCCTTCTATAGGGAAATAAACACTCTTTGTAAGGGATATCAACCCAAAACCAACGCATGCCAAGACAAGCCAGGGAGTCTAATCACGGAAAAGGCAGACGTGCTTAGGAGATGGCGGGAACATTTTAGCGAACTCCTAAACATATCCAATGCAACAGATAAAGAGACCATCTTTTTCGACGTTGAGGAGCGATTAGAACCACCCACGAGAATGGAAGTCCAACAAGCCATTCGTAGTCTGAAGAACAACAAGGCACCAGGGCTTGATACTATCACCTCAGAGCTACTCAAAAAAGGGAAGCGGTATCGTGGAGAGAATGCACGGACTCGTTACTCTTATATAAAGGGCTTAGAGGGGGGCTTAAAACGGTTTAAAAGAGTTTAGAGAAATGGGATTGATCAGGATTGCAATTTCCGTACGCGGCTAAATGCTCTTTATAACATGTCCCGATGTTACGATCAGTCTGACCCACGTAAACGATGTTGCATTCAGAGCTGGGCAACTTAGGTAGGTCAAACTGCTCACATATCGGCGGACGCTTTGACGAGGTTTGACGATTTTTTACACGAGGTTGAACCGCGTACAGAGAATTACGAACAACATGCTTTTGTTTCTTTTTATTTAGATTGATTGTTAATGAGCTTTTTTCAAAAATCGTTATAGACTCCAGATTTTAAATAATTTTCTTTACTTAATGGAACAGTGAACAAACGGTTAATGTAACAATAAAAAGTGGCTAATTTATGTTGCCATGGATGACACAATGACATGGACGCGAGTCAACCGTGTCGGTATGACTTGGCTTTCGATAAATTTGGAAAACATGCAACGACTCTTTTCTTGTTATTGTTAAGTCTTCCGATTCAAGATTCTTATATTAATGTTAGCAATAATAGCTAAGCAAAGATTAAGTTTGCAATATGTACCTCATATATTCATTTCTATTATGCATAAAGAATCTGTCTTGCTTTCTTCAAGAACGTAAGCACTTTTATCAGGCTCCATCAACCTAAAACAAGCAGGTTTATCTGTGGAATCTAACTATGATATAATAAAGTTCAAAGTTATATTGAGTCGTATAATGTTGAATATTATATTATATATTATTTATTTTCTGATGAAATTGTTTGTCTGTATAATTATTTGTAACTTTATTTAAATAAATAAAAGTAATAAAATAACATTAAAATGTTTGCATAAAATAGGAAACTTAAATTGCAATTACAAGCTAGTATAAAATAAACTCTGTCATTCTGAGATCGGCTCCATGTGATATTCAATGTTTTACTGTGTAATATATTTTGGATGAGAGAGAGTATTAGTACGTGGTAGTATATTGTAAATAATAAGATTTATGTTTAGAACATTAAATACAAATAATATTAAAATAATTGAAAAACTGTCAAGAAGTGACCTAAAAGAAAAAAGTCGATATGACTTGATATATAGTCACTTTGTTTCCACTTTGTATACGTTTTTCAGTTTCCAACGTTTCATTTTCTTCTTTTACAAATGGTGCATCTTCTGTTTTTCTCAAATAAATTTTACCATGAGAAACCCAACAAAATGAGACTCATTCATTTTAGCACTTTCGAGCATCCGCAAAAATTTTTTTGTGTGTGGTGTAAGATTTTCCATAATATAAACAGGTTTTTCAGGGCCATCAACTTTTATTATTTCTTGAATTATTTTAATACCCGACGATCGTAAATATTGCTCTGAATGCTCTAATTTGTTTTCTATGGCTTCGAGGTGCTTGCGATTCGCATTCTTATCAAAGTGCAGTGACTCGATATGAACTACTAGTACTTTAACACAGCTATTAACCCAGGATACAGAAATAACAAGAATAACACAGAAATAACACAGAATAACACAGACAAACACAGACAAAACACAGACATATTAACTACTAGGTACTTATATCGTCGTATTTTTGTGACAAAAATTCAATAGATTTCGTATTTCAACACTTTGGTCTTTTATTTCTTGTGTAGAATAAAGAATAGCTGAAAACTTTTTATCTTGGTCATTTTGCCAGGATAAATACTTTTACATAAAATCATGCTTAAATAAATCCTGTTCTTCATTTACTTGCTTAGATTTTGAGCGCATTGTTACATTAGATGCCGGTGATAAGTCATCTGTAGCCACCGAACCTATGCTTGTCTTGCAATCGGTTTGTAATTGAGGCTTACGCATCTAAAGAGAGGAACCGGAGGATTATATTATGTATATGGTATTATTTTTTTATTAGTAGTAAAGTAAAATAGGTAAATAAAAAGATAAAATAACTATAATATCTATACAGGTATTGTAGACCTGTATAGATATTATAGTTATTTTACCTATATATAAAAATATACAATATTTTTTTTAAATGCACATGTTTCAGGTAATGCAATTCTACGACTCACACGACCTGTGGCACATGCTGTCGGCCGTGGCGCTGTACTTCACGTTCAACGTCATGCTCACGTGGGATGACGGACTCTCCGCCGTCAAGAGATCCGACATACCGGTCTTCTGACACTTCCTCGCAGTTTGTCTTTACATTTTTATAATAAATATTTTGTTAAAAATATTTTGTTTGATTTTACTAACAAAGGCTTACACGATAGTCTGGCAATATATCCAAAATAAATACTTTAATTGTTTTTGGTTCATCATTTTTAAGCGGGTTTGTAACTGACAAACTATTCAATTCAACAATGCTCTTACTAACAATGCAACTCACAACTTTTCACAAGCAAAGGCAGACAACCGCTATAATTCGTCGTTTTTCGCGGATCGTCCGTTAGACCGAGTTGTAACGTTAGTCAAACTGTCGTTGCTACGGCTTGATGAGATGATTCGCACGACCATCGCTTTATCAATATATATATGTGTATTATTTTTCAACTCTATGATTTATTTCTCATACTGACTCACTCTACTGAGTTTAAGAGCCTAGAATAATAAACAAGATTTAGCAGCGTCAGAACATTAACACAGCTTGTGTTAATGTTCTGAGGCTGCTAAATCTTGTTTACATTACGTCTGTAATTATGTGAGTCGTAATACTTGTTCAAATTAAAGACTTAGATAATATTATACAGTACTTACATTGATCTTTCATGTCAGTAGTTATGTAGTATATTAATTAGCAAAAATCTTAAAAAACTTTTGACTTGATATCTATAACTGTCGAACTGTCGAAGCTGGTCGAAACAACCGTCGCGCCACGGATGTCGATTATTTCACGGTATTGTCGTTTTCATAACCTGTTCATATTTCAGGGTTTGTTGATAGTGCTTAATACCCTTATTACACTACCCTGAATCAGGCTCCCTACGCCCTGATTCAGGGTGGTGTAATAAGAGAAAGGGAGAAGGCCTCTCTACTCTACCTCGTTTACACCATACGTATTTGTAGGTTGGTTTTAGCTTTTGTTTTGCCTCCCATAGTAATTTACTGTTATAATAAGATAAAGCTTCACGTATGTAAATAAGCTGTTTCCCTGTCACCTCCGTCAAATTATCCACGATATCATGAGCATTTAACTTTGGAATTTTCGCTACAGTGATCCATTTTCACAAAGGGAAACAACATCAACAAAATCGAAATGTTATTTCAATATTTCCCGACTTTTCTTTTTTCCTGGTACACGTTCTGTAGTGTCAATGTCTTCAACAGATATTGATAATTTATCTGCAATTTTTTTGACAATGTCGCTTACTATTTCCGTGTTATTATGAGGGATATTTAATATTTCAATTTGTTTGTTTAGCTATGACTGTTCAATATCCTTTAAACGTTGCTCTAGTGCACCAACGCGCGTTTCTAAATAATTATTTTTGTTAGAGAGTTCTACATTTTTCTTCTGTAGTTCTTTCATTGTTAATATTAAGGCATCTATAGATACTGTCATCTCGTCCTTTTTATCTCTTTGATGTTGTAGAGATTTGATTACGTCTCGGAGTTCTCTTTGAAGAGCTTTTTCCATCTCTTTTGATATGTCTTTCAATAACCGCTTGATATCAATTTGTACGTTTTTGGAATAGTTTCCTGCATCTTGAGCATTATCTTCCTCTTCCTCTTCCTCTTCATCACCGGGAACGTATATAGAGCTACGTCTCGGGAAATATTCAAGACAATCGTGGCATGTCCATCCTAGATTATCAGCGGCCTTTAGTGCATTCTTTTGCTTGTTAGTAAGACCAGAGCAGTTCCCATTTAAGTGCACTATTTTCTCGCACTGGTTACATTCTAATACAGGATTAGTTTTGGTTATATTTTTCCACGTTTATCACATTTTGTCATGTTGTGGGTAGATTTATACTAAGCTTACGGAACTAACTTAACGTGCTTTTAGATCAGACGAACGACGACGAATACGTTACAATCATCTTTCTGAAATATTGATTTTTATGTATGAATGGTTATTCACCTGTTTGTATTTCAGTATAGTTTCGTATATGTATTCTGAAAATGCGATAATACTGAAGGTGACATATGGAACTACCATAAAAAATTAACGCACCACATCATAAGAAATAAAATTAAAGCAGAAGACGAGTTTCATATTTACATGTGGGATATCATGAAAGGGTTAAATCCCGGGCTTCATAGCCTAGATAAGATCTATTTGCCTATCGTGGCAACTTGGTATCCCGTGAGCGGTTATTTTCAGAGGCTGGACCTACAATCACGCGGGACTAGGCACCAGGTTGTCAAAATTGTTATTTTAAAATTCAATTCGAAAGAAATAAACGTAAAAGAAATATTTAATTAATTCTTCTTTTCTGATAATTATTCGATAAAATTAAATGTGTAAAAATAAATAGTGTAAAACTTCCTAAAATAACATAAATATAATGTTTGATTATTATACTTTTTTGTTTCATTTCTGTTCAAAATGATTATTTATCAGTTATGTATATTTGTATTTAAATGATGATAAAAAAACATCGAAAAAATCGATATATCGTATATAAACTTTGATGTTGAGCGATGTTGCATCCTATAGATGTGCTTAAGTAAACTCTAGTTACGCAACTAGAATTAGCAGAACGAAACACAGTAAATTATTTGTTACAAATACTTTAAAAATATCGATTCAATTAAATATAAATATATATATATATATATATATATATATATATATTTGCCGTGTAGTGGCGGTTGAGAATATCCACTACCCCATATCTTCCCGTGGGTGTCGTAAGAGGCGACAGAGGGAGACAGGCAGGAGATGGGCAGCAGCATCTTCCTAATAACAACAATAACATAATAAAAAACTGCGGTTGCCAACCGCTCGCCACGCGTGGCAACTGTGGCAAATATCCCCCCATGAGCAACGACGCAAATAAACGGCCCCCAGTCCCCGGTGGCCCCGCTATTCCTGGCTACGGTGGCGACCATGGAACAGCGGGGCAGGGGGTGCTAAGAATCTCCGGTGGAGGTTCGGTTGCCACCTACAACGACTCGACCTGACAACGTATAACGCACGCACCCTGAGGACTGACGAGAAGATACTGGGGCTGGAAGAAGAGGTAGACAAGTTGCGCTGGCATATTATTGGATTATCTGAGGTCCGAAGAGAGGGGGTGGACACGGTAATCCTCGAGTCCGGCAACTTGTTCTATCACCGGGAGGGCGACCATCTGTCCCATGGAGGTATCGGATTTATCGTCCACAAGTCTTTCGTCAACAACGTTGTAAAGATTGGGAGTGTGTCGACGAGGGTCGCGTACCTGATACTCAGAATCATCAAACGGTATTCGCTGAAGGTCATACAGGTCTACGCACCAACCTCGGCACATCCCGATGAGGAGGTGGAGGAAATGTATGAGGATATTTCTAGAGCCATGCATTCCTCCAAAACCCACTACACGGTGTTGATGGGAGACTTCAACGCAAAACTAGGCACAAGATAAGGCGGTGAGCTGAAGTTAGGAAAATTTGGAGTAGGGCAACGGAACCGTAGGGGCCAGCAGGTGGCTGACTTTATGGAGAAAGAGGGACTCTTTATGATGAACTCTTTCTTCCAGAAGTGGCCCCACAGGAAGTGGCCCTGGTCGAGCCCCAACGGTTCGACGAAAAATGAGATTGACTTCATTATGACGACCAGACGCCAACTGTTCAGTGATGTCTCAGTGATCGCAAGGGTGAAAATCGGCAGCGATCACCGAATGGTTAGAGGCACACTGAACCTAAACGTTAAGTTGGAGAGATTTCGTCTAATGAAGTCAACGCTCCGTCCCCCTCGTGCTCTAATCCAGAATCCCGAGACTTTTCAGCTCGAGTTACGTAACCGCTTTCAGTGCCTAGAAGATTGCAATGCAGTGGACGATATGAATGACAAGCTCGTGGAAACTGTCCATTCGGTCGGAGCTAAGTTCTGCAAGACCCGCCGCAGAAGAACACAAAAACTCTCCGATCACACTCTTAATCTCATGGCTGTTAGACGGGATATGAGGCTGCAATCGTCAACAGATTTGACAGCATACAGGCAACTGAACAGACAGATCTCCAAATGCATGCGGCGAGACTCACGCAACTTTAATACTGCTCGTATTAAAAGAGCGATCGAGCGGAACCAGGGCTCCAAAGTCTTTGCCAGAGATCTGTCTGCCAGAAAGAGCCAACTGTCAAAGCTGAAGACTGAGTGTGGCAGCATCGTTTACGCGACACCTGAGATTTTGAGTGAGATTGAGGTTTTTTGAGGTTTGAGGTTGAGCTGACTATGGGCAGCTGTAAACATCATCGTTGGAGCCACACGCAAGTGTGAGTAACGATCCAAGAGCAAGTCTTACCCGACACTATTCCGATGATATCCCGGACGTCAGTCTGCGCGAGATTAGAATGGCTCTCCAGCACCTTAAAAACGGCAGGGCCCCAGGCGAGGATGGAATTACAGCGGAGCTTCTGAAAGCGGGTGGAACACCGGTACTTGAAGTCCTTCAGAAGCTCTTCAGTTCTGTCCTCCATGGTGGCACTACTCCAGAGGCGTGGAGCAGAAGTGCGGTGGTCTTGTTCTTTAAGAAAGGCGACAACGCTCTCTTGAAGAACTACAGACCGATTTCCCTTCTGAGCCGCGTCTGCGTACTGTTTTCGAGAGTCCTTACGAATCGTCTCGCACGCAGACTCGACGACTTCCAGCCTCCCGAACAAGCCGGTTTCCGAAAAGGCTTCAGTACCATAGACCACATAAATACCCTGCGGCATATTGTACAGACGACCAAAGAGTACAATCTGCCACTTTGCCTGGCGTATGTAGACTATGAGAAAGCCTTTGATTCCGTCGAAATTTGGGCGGTGCTACAGTCCCTTCAGCGGTGCCAAGTTGACTGTCGGTATATCGAAGTGCTGAAGTGTTTGTACAGTGGGGCTACGATGGCTATCCGAGTACAGAACCAGAGTTCGAAACCTATCCAACTGCAGAGAGGTGTAAGACAGGGTGATGTTATATCCCCGAAACTCTTCACCGCTGCGTTGGAAGACGTTTTCGAGCTACTGGACTGGAAAGGATACGGTATTAACATCAAT